TATTATTATTATAATCATCACCATTATCATAATTATCATTATCATTTCTGTAGCCAGTACCATAAAACTATAGATTATGACCTGCTAGTCGGTCAACTTACTGTAATCTATATCTGTTTCCAACACAGCCGTCTCGGTGGGTAGAGATTCTGACGTAGTTGGAACCGATGAAGTAGAAGCAAGAGTTGGTACGGCTGGAGATGACACAATGACGCTGGTGGATTCCGTCACTGACGTTATGGGTGGCCTTGTGTCTGGGCCAGATGTCACAGTGGCTGCTGGATCGACAGACTTTGTAGCGTTTGGAGTAGGTGCTCTGAGAGTTGTTGAACCGGAGAGGCCAGTTGGTAGATTATGAGGCGTTGATGTTCCAAATGACAGGACCGTTGTGTCCGAAGATGTGGTTGTTGCGGTAACTTCCGAGGTGACATTTGGGTTCTGTGTAGTCATATCTGTGGCCTGTTTAGTCATATCTGTTGTTTGATCTATTGTTTGATCTGTTGTTTGATCTGTTGTTTGATCTGTTGTTTGATCTGTTGTTTGATCTGTTGTTTGGTCTGTTGCTTTTATTGTCATATCGGTTGTTTGATTTGTTGTTTGATGTGCTTCCTGTGTAGTCAAATTTGCTGTCTGATCTGTTGTCACCTCTGTTGTTTGATCTGTTACTTGTGTTTTCACATCTGTTGTTTGATGTGCTTCCTGTGTAGTCAAATCTGATGTTTGATCGGTTGCTTGACCTGTTGTTTGAACTGTTGTAAGACCTGTTGTTTGATCTGTTGTTTGATCTGTTGCTTGATCTGTTGTTTGATCTAATGCCTGTGTAGTCACATCTGCTGTTTGATCTGTTGTTTGATCAGATGTCAGTGTGGTTACATCTGTAGTTTGATCTGTTGCTAGATCTGTTGTTTGATCTGTTGCCTGTGTAGTTACGTCTGTTGTTTGATCAGATGTCAGCGTAGTAACATCTCTTGTTTGATCTGTTGTATGATCTGTTGTTTGATCTGTTGTAAGATCTGCTGTTTGATCAGCTGTTTGATCTATTGTTTGATCTGTTGTTAGATCTGTTGTTTGATCTGTTGCTTTTATTGTCACATCTGTTGTTTGATCTGTTGTTTGATCTGTTGTCAGATCTGTTGTTTGATCTGTTTGATCTGTTGTTTGATCTGTTGTAAGATCTGTTGTTTGATCTGTTCGATCTGTTGTTTGATCTGTTGTTAGATCTGTTGTTAGATCTGTTGCCTGTGTTGTCACATCTGTTGTTTGATCAGTTGCTTGTGTAGTCACATCTGTTGTTTGATTTGTTGCTTGTGTAGTCACATCTGTTGTCTGATCTGTAGTCACATCTGTTGTTTGATCTGTTGCCTGTGTAGTCACATCTGTTGTCTGATCTGTAGTCACATC